ACCTTTTAATAGGTAATCGTGGGTTTGCATGAAGTTAACAAACACTGTAATACAGAATTGAAAGTGAGAAATATGGAGTATTGTCATTTTGTTAATAGTATTAATATTCTTAGTGTTTAGCATAATTGAGTATTCTGCTTTAAAAACTCTTCCTTCTCTAGACTTCTGTAACACCTTGTTCCCTATTTTTCTTTTCCTTTTTAGTGGCTATTACTTATAACAAATTTGATCATTTTTTTAAAAGGACTACCCTTACTGGCCCGAACTCCTGGGCCCTAGTGATCCTTCTGCTTCAGTCTCCTGAGCACTGGCGCTACAGGTGTACCTCACTGTACCTAGCTTTCTCTTTACATCTTAACTTCTCTACCAGATAATTGCATAGCTTATATAACTTCTCCTTCTCCTGTTCCTTGATTGGTGGTTGATTCACAGTATGTAATAGAAAAGGCCTAAAGCAGTTTTCTGAAAAATCTTCATCCCTGAACATCTCTTTTTAATATGTACAAATTTAATAGTGACCTTAAGAGTAATATAGCCAAAACAAAATGATTGATTCTCTATTCCCCAAAACTATTTTTAGGCCTTTTTCATATCAGTAAATTCCTCCACAAATAGCTGATGCTCAGGACAAAATCCTTAACATATGCTTAATAATCCAGCTTGATTTTTTTCTTGCACCACTCTTATTTAGCTTTCCTATTAACTGTTTTGACACTCTCCAGCTGTTTTGTTCAGGTGTCCTAGGTTCCAGTGATCTTCTAGCTTTGACTTCGTGAGCACTGGAACTATGAGAGTGCCCCGCCATGCATGGCTTCCTTTCCACATCTTAACTTCTTGTGATGAAGTGAAACTTTGAGAAGGCAAGGCCTAATGGAAGATCCTTAGGTCCCTGGCAGTGTGACCATAAAGGATATAGGGCTTAAGTCTCTTTCACTTTCTCTCTTTTGCCTCTTGGCCATGAGATGGGCTGTTTTACTCTGCACACCCTCTTGCCATGATGGTTTCCTGAGCCCCAGCCTAAAACAAAGGGGAAATTCTTTGTAAACTAGAACTTTCAAATGTGTGGGTCCAAGTAAACTCTTTCTGTTTAAAGCTATCAATCTCAGGTATTTTTATTGTAATGATAGACAGCTGATTAACATACTCTACTTCCAAAATGTGTCCTAGCTCACTCTCAATCTTGAAATTCTATATCCCTATCCAGAGTACTATGGTCTTTCACTTACTCTTAACTTGGTGCATCTGCTTTTAGTTTGTTTTGTTTTAAAAACCTCCAGCCCTCACCTTTGCTGTGTAGAGCCACTAAAACTGATGACTGCATTAAGAGACTCCTATGGCTTGTGGGGGCCCTGTACTTATCAGTGGATTGAATCTACTGGTGCTCATAGATGCCTGTGCTAGGATAAGGTGGGGGCCTTGTGCTCTGCTTCCCTGCTGCCGCCAAGTGAGCTCCACCATGCCCTGTACCATGATGTTCTGCCTTGTGCCAGCTAACTGCAGACTGGAACCACTGAAACAAAGAGCCAAAGTTTTCTTCTGAAGTTGTGGTGTCAGATATTTTCCTTTGGTAGCAGGGGTGCAGGCCAGTACCCTATTTAGTGTTTTAAAAGTGCTTCCAGTGTGGTTTTTCTGAATTAGCAATTAGTTCATGTAAGAAATCTGTAGTGTCTTCATGTTACACGTAGAGAAATATCCAGAATTCTTAATTTGCCAGTGAGAATCCAATGAATATTCCAAAGTGGATTAGACCAAAGAATCTGACTTTTGGCTATATCTCTGACATTTTCCTCCCTGCTTTCCATATCCATTCACCCTGGTCTTTTCTCTGTTCCTAGACAAAATAGACCTGGTTTTGTTCACGACCTTTGTATCTGCACTCACATGGCAGATTCCTTCCTATCATTTGCTACAACTCAGGTTCAACTTCCATGAGAAGCTTTTCTGGCAGCTCCTCTCTTTTTGTCTGTCCATTACCCTGTTTAAACATCTTCATTTACCAAGTGTTACCTGAATGTATCTTGCTTGTTTCTCTGCTTTTTAAAAAAAATCATTTTTTTTTTTTTTTTTTTTTTTTTTAAAGTCAGACTTGCTTATAATGACTGAACTCCTTGAGGAGAGACTTCTTTTCACATTCATATCCCTAGTACCTCATACAGGGTCTGTCACATAAGAAATCTTTATCCTGTGTGGCCTTCGATTCTTTGATTAAATTATACCTTTAAGTAGAATCATCTTTGGACAATATTGAGTAATATATACTAAAACAATGTGGAGTTCAGAAATAATTGGGGATTGGCCACTGTGTTCCCTCTTGCAAGCTGACTCACTCTCATGCTGTAGGGTGTACTTGTTTTTTGGGGGGTTCTAGGAATTGAACTTGGGACCTCATGTTTGCCAGGTAGGCGCTGCACTGCTGAGCTGTATCCCTGGGCCTGTAGGGTATATGTCTTTTTCTGTTTTTACTTGGCCAAAATTTGCTTGGTAGAGCCTGTTTCTTTTCCTACTTTTAATAAAACTTTGGTCCCATTTAAAAAAAAATTGAGTATCTCTGGAGTTCATTGAGAAGTGATGTTCTGTCTTGTGGGGTGGTTTGTTATTTTAGAGTATTAGAGTTCCCATTAATTGTAGTTACTGGATCCACAATCACTTTATTCCAGGAGTTAACATCAACACAATTTGAATACAAAATAGACAAAGTAGAATAATATCTTTTATTTATTGCTGGAGTTTCCGGTGAGAATAGTGGTGTGAACTGCCGAATAACTTGAAGGTAGCTGCAAAGAATATGTCAGGATATAAAGTTGGCATCTTGTACAACTAGTTTGTCATTAGGATTGGATATTTACTTGTTTCTTAAAAAGATAAATCTAGGTTTGGGGAGATAGCTCAGTGTTCTAAGTGCCTTCCTGGCAAGTGCAAGGACCTGGGTTCAATCCCTGGTACCACATGCTGTGCCACCCTTGAGTGCTAAGCCAGGCCCTGAAACTAGGTGTGATGGTGTACACCTGTAATCCCAGTGCTGAGGAGACTGAGACAGGAGGATCACTAAGAGTCTAAGATGCAGAGCAAAACTCTGTATCAAATCAGTCAATCAACCAATCAAACTACAATCACTGTTTTTTATCATTACTTAACAGATCTCGTTGACTTTTTCTTATCTATAATACATTACTCATAGTAATGACCTTGAAAAGAGATTTGATATTAATTTAGTAAGTATGTTATCTATCATGTAGTGGGACCTGAAACAAGTTGTAAGGATATAGCTGTGAATAGGGTAAAAAGCTCATTTCTGCCTATTTGTTAAATAAATCAGAGATTCTTTTGAAACAGTTCAGATCAGCATTGGCCTTCAGAACTTTTGGAATGAATCCTATAGGCATGAGGTCTCACCAGATCGCTGTCATTCTCTTCTCATCCTGCACCTACTTGCACATTGGTTAGTGTCCCATGGCTATATGAATGCCTATTCTGTAGCCATCACTGTATTAATATTTAGATATCCAGAGAACAGCTGATTAAATTGTTGTCTTTAGGATCTCTTAATGGAGACAGACTGGGAAACGAATGCTTTTTAACATAGAACTGTAAAGTGTAAGAATATTCTTAGCACACAGTCTGTTAGGGGAGTGCAGAGAAAGAGATCTAACAAGCCTGAAGCTGAAACTGAAGGGTGAGAAGGAATTTGTGTGATTGCAGGAGATGGAAATAGGGGAAAATGAGTATAGAAGTTGGGGAGGTAGGAAGCTAGATCTGGACAGGTCTTGAATGCCAACTGCCTATCGCTGGAAGATTGGGATGGTGCTAACATGAGACTGATAGAGGAGTGATCTTTTCGATAGCATTGTGGGGGAATAATGTGTAAGGGACAAAGAAAAGGTAGGTAGCTACTTGTCAGAGCTTTTTAGGGAAGTGACATAATCAGATTTATATTGTATGAAAGACCACTTTTGCTGCTTGGTGGGGAAGCATCCATGAGGGTGTTACTGGGGGATCAGTGGAAGGGTGAGAAAGGTTAGGAGGGAATCATAGTATTCAGCTGCTATACACTGATAGGGAGTTGCTTGCTTTTTATTGTTTTAAGGATTTTTTAAAAATTCTATCTCTTTGCAAAAGGATTTTACTATTCTAATAAATTGTTGTAAAAATGTTATTTCCAAGTTATCATAAGCTCAGATGTGTCCACCATCCTTCACCCTAATGCTTGAATCTTCCTTCCCAGACAACACATGTACACAGAGACATCTGCATGCGAACTTGGTTCTTTATTTTATTTGCTTCTGTTCTTATTGAAATGCTGTTGAAAGGGCTAGTTTTCACTATTGATTTCCTTTCGTTGTGGTAATCCTATTTTAATGAACAAAGTCCTTTTAGGCAACTAAGGTATTAAAAAGGAAGGTAGACTGGTAGGTACAGTAGGGATTTGTAAGTTTATTTAATAAACATGGTTTGGATTGTTTATTCCATTGCCAGTGTGTTTATTTATTTCCTAACAATATTTAATTCAACTGGTAATAGAAATGACTAATTTAGAGATAAATCATTAGTTCTTCAAAGCAGATAAGTTAATATTATTAGTAACTTCTCAAAGTGAAAAATACTCAGTATTTGCTCATACCTCTGCCTGAAAAATATTAACACTTTCCAAAGGGGGGAAGTTAGTTTTATATCATAGAAAATCAGGTCAGTTTCACTTTGGTTTGTGGAAGTTATTAAATAGTACCCTTGCACACTGTAAAATAAGAAAGAAAATGTTTGTCCTCATTGCATTTTAAGTGAAAAGATACAGCACAGAATACTCATTTTTGTGTTTATTGCTTGTGAATATTTCCATATTACAGCAATTACCTACTGTAGTATAATTGGCTGTTTACTTGCCTCTAACCATCCCCCCTTCCCCGTTGGTTTCATACCATCTGGGTAAGCACTTGGATGGATATTTTTGATGTGATTGAATGTGATGCTTAACTTTTTTTTGTATTCATTTTTATTTTTATTAGAAAATCCTTCTGAAGCAGATTTATGGCTCCTGAACAGTTGTACTGTAAAAAACCCAGCTGAAGACCACTTTAGAAACTCAATTAAGTAAGTAGAAATTTTTCCCCCTATTTTTGATAATCAAGGTAAACAAATCATCAGCAAGTTCTAAAAAGACTCCTAAGTATGATTATAAATATTGGGCATGTATAAAAAACTATGAGTTCTACTTTACTGTTTTAAGTTTACCTGATAAAGAGCAAAACTTTAATGAGACCTTTTCTAATATGATTTTTGCATATGTGTAGTTAGCTAGTAGGTGATTTGGTTTTTTAAAATTTTTTTATTTTTAATACATATTTTTATTCAATGTTCATGTGTCCAGGATAACATTCTTGCCTTTCTCTACTCAGTGAAATTTTTTTTCCTATCGTAATGTGACTTTAATTGAGAGTATGCTTTTTCCCCATAATTTTATTGAGAAACAAATAGCAATGAGACAGTTTCAAATCAAATTGTTAGGACAGTTTCAATAATTAATTGCATACTGTCTTCCTAATGGTTATTTGTTGTACAAGATGCAGACATGATATCCTATTTACAAACACCATTAGAACAAATCCCTCTGTTCATTAAGAGAATATAACTATATATCCTAACCATTTTGAATACACAGATACAAAATGATCATTCATCTGTATCCCCTTTTTTTTATTTAGTTCTGTCATTTAAATATTATACGTGTGTGAATCAGCAAAATATTCCATAGTAGTCCAGTAGTCCATAGTAGTATTGGATCTTCCACTTGACTGGCAATGTCAGAAATTGTTGACCTGAGTCCCCTACAGCTCAACATAACGCTATGGCTTTACTTCTTATACTTCATTTTTATATGCTAGTAGGTGATTTGAATATTTAAGTATGGCCTGTGTTCTTCCTGGAGAACCCAGTGCAGACTGCACTAGAGTCTGCAGCTTTTACCTATTCTCTCTCCTCAGCCCGCCAGCCCTCTTCTAAGTGCTAGGATGTCTGCACGACATGGGAATGACATTAGGTAACTGGCACATACGTCTTAAATCTTTTCTGCTTTGTTCTCTCAGGTTAAAGTGGAAAAAGTCTTTTTTAAAATGTGTGCTCTGTATCTTATCCCACTCATCTTCCTAGATCCCTCCTCATTCTGTGAATTATTTCTTCATTCTATATTTTCAGACCCTCCAACCCCATTAGCGCCTTTCCATCCCCATTTCACACATTCAGGTCTAACCAGCCCCCATGTCCCTATTAGCTTTTATCCTGTTTTTTTTTCTTGCCTTTCCAGCCAGACCTCTTAAGGTTTCTTATTTCTTTTCTTTTTTAATTTTTAAAATTATTTATTTATTTGGTACAGGGTCTCGCTGTGCAGCTTGGACTCATAGTGATCCTCTTGTCTGAGCCTCCTTACCACTGGGATTACAGGTGTGCACTACCACTCCTGGCTTCGGTGGCCAGCTTGGCACATCTGGGGTTCCAGGACTAACACAGAGTGCAGTACTGGGGATCGAGCCCAGGTCCTTGTGCTTGTCAGGCAGGCACTTGGACCACTGAGTTATTTCCCCAGCCTGGTTTCTCATTTCTTTACTTTATTTTCTTATGTATTCTTCTCATCTTCATTGTGATTATTGTGAAATATATTGTATAAACACTTTAGTTTAAATAGTGAACCTACACCTGTAAATCCAGTTTAAGAAGTATAACATTGTCAAGACTGTACACAGAGCCATATTTCTCTCTTTCAATCATACCCCGACAAGTAAATGGTTTTTAAAAAATTTTTTATTGGGGAACCCAGGGCCTTCATACTGTGCTTCACACCAGCCCCTTTTCTGTTTTTAATTTTGAGATAGGATCTTGCTAATTTGCTATGCCTCCCAGAGTATGGGTTTATAGGTGTTCCACCATGCCTAACTCAGGAAGTACCCTTTATCCTGACTTTCTTTCAGCTATTCTTTTACTTTAGTTAGATTTGTCATGTATTAAGTGTATTTTAAAACAATATATTGTTTAGCCCTTCTTTGTACTGTATTTATTGGTCTTATTAACTGCTGTGTTCTTTTGAGATTTGTTTCTTTCTTTAGCATTATAGTTTTAGATTTATTCATTTTGATGAATATAAAATGAATATAAAATGACTTCATTCATGAAGAGTATTATTTTTTATGTGTCAGGAATTCAGCCCATAGCTGCACTCATATTAGGCCAATACTCTACCATTAAGCACCCAGGTGCTCTTTTTTCTTATAATTTTTGTTCTTCCCAGGGTTTTCTTTTCACGACAGCTTATGTTGTGACTATTTTAAACATTTTCTGGTGCAAATGTATAAGGATTATTTCAGGATATGTATCTCATAGTTGAATGATTGGGTCCTAAATAGGTACACATTCAAACTTCGGTTGGTAATGCTAGTCTTTTCTTGGAAATGGATATACTAGCATTCATTCTCACTGGCAGTGAATGGGTATGATTGGTTATTCCCTGTTTTCAATATAGGCAGTATAGTTGAGGTTCTACATTTTTCTACATTGCCTGGTGACGATGGTATTTTATTATGATGCTAGTTGTATTTTTGTGATCATAGATGATGTTCAGTGTTTTGAAATCGGTTTATTGGATATTGTGTTTCTATTTTTTATGAAATGGCTTGTCCATTTTCTTGTTGAGTTTTTATTATTAGTGGTAATATATGTGTTCTTCTACTGATCTTTAGATATATGTCTTTTATTTTCTCCCACTTGTGGTTTATCTTTTTACTTTTTAAAATGATATGTTTTGATGATTTTAAATTGTGATTTATCATTCTTTAAGTCTTTACTTTTGTCTCTATTCTTAAAAAAATTTAACTTGATTCTGTTAAAATAGTCTCTTGTAGTTCTTCTGTTAGATTCATGCTTTTACCTCTTATATTTAGGTCTATAATTCATATGGAGTTTTTTTTTTTTTTTTTTTTTTTTTTTAGGAGATGGGTATGGTACTGGGATGTGGTCCATTTTAACTTTTTTCATGTAGATATCCATTTATACCTGTATCACTTAACTTTTTTTTTGTAAACTGTGCCTTTTTTGTCTCTGTATTACCTACTATATCATATGTTATTATCCATATATAATTTGGGGTTTATCTCTTGGCCTTTGTCTCAGTTATTCTTTTCTTGTTGCTGGGACAAAATACCAAGCACCCACAATTAAGGAAGGAAAGATTTATTTAACTCACAGTTAGTGGAAATTTCAGTCCATACTCAGCTGGCTCCTAGGCAGAGCAGCACATGGCAGAGGGCAACCTTTTATGGTGGTAGAAACAGGGATGCGCAAAGGGTGGAGCAGTAGCAGTAACAGCTAGTTAGCCTGTCTTCCTCCCTACATAGTAATGCAGAGTATCTGTCCCAGGGCAGGTATGGCACTCACACACATAATCCCAGCAATGGATCATGAATTAAGCACAAACTTTAGCAGCTGTCCCAATGACTGCATGAGGCTTTGGGGGGACATCTAGACACAAACCATAATAACCCTCTTTTTCCTACTGGTCTATTTCTTTATTCTGGTTTTGTAATGTCATAAGTTGTAGAGATTTATACTTAGTTCAGCTACTGAATGTGCCAGTGTATTTTTGTATTTAAGAGTGTCCTGGTTGTTCGTGCTCAGTACCCTTGGATATAAGGTTAAAATCAGTTTTGAAGTTCACCAAGGGATACTAGTGTGATTTTGATCATGATTAAATTGAAATATTCCATGACTTTTGGCAAAAACTGAATCTTCATCATTTTGAGTTCTTCATCCCATGAATAAGGTACAGTCAAGCATTACTTAATGACAGATATGTATTGAAAAATGGATGGTTAGGCAGTTTAGTCCTTGTGCAAATGTTCACTTATATAGAATGAGATGTTCATTTAAACAAAGTGGACACTAGGACATGTAACCTTATGAGACCATTGTGGTATATGTGGTCTGTTGTTGACCAAAAGATCATCATGTGTACATGAGTATATTCAGGTCTGCTTAGATGTTCTAAAATTTTTTTTTTGATACTTTTAAGGTCCTATGCTTTTAAAATATTCTTTTCTTTATAATGTAGGTATTGAGTTGTTTCAGTAACATCTTCTAAAAACATCTTCCTTTATGGGGGTAGTATTTTGTTTCTTTGTACTACCATAAATGGTGAGTTACAGTGTTACAGTGTTTGCATCCTTTGTCTTAAAGGATTAATTCTATCAGCAGTGTGAAGAATGGCTGAGTGTAAAGAATGGTTGAGATCAGGAATTGAGTTAGGCTCAAGCTGTAGTAGTCCAAGTACTGAGGGATGCATTCGAAGTGAAGGCAGTCTGAAAGGAGGGAGTTGACATGTGAAGGAAGAATTCTTACCAAGTCCAACATTGAAGACAAAGCATTTTTTAAATTCAAATATAACTTGTGCTATATATATTTTCTATAATACATAAACTTGTCAGTGTGGTTCAAAGTAAGATATGGTATTTGAATGATTAAGTGAATTAGTAATGACACAAAGGAAAAGCTTGTGACTTTTAAGACTGAGGAACTAGTGGTAGCAAGCACAGCTTCCTGTAATACACTGGTTTGCTTGATTGAAAGAAAAATTAAGAATATAATTTTTATTTTAGGCAATGCTAGGGATTGAACCTAGGACCCTGAGCTTACGAGCAAGTCCTCTACCACTGAGTACTGCTGCTCACTCCTGAAGTGTCATCCTCTCTGATCATCTGCTTTTGTTTCCTTTCCAGTGTATTCTTAGTATTTAGCAGTTTTTGTCTCTAATTATTCATTACTTAATTTTGTCTCTTGAGCCATCAGGCAGGAGACATCATTTTAACAGGAACAAAGAAAGGTAAGTTTTTTTCTTTCATTTGGTTAAGTGTGATCTTATTGATTAAGAACTAAAAATTGAGAATTTGTGACAAGATTGTTAAATTTTTATAGTATAGTATGTTATTGTTTTTGAGATTGCTAAAAGAGTAGGAGTTTCAAGTAGCACAAACAGAGGTAAGGCTGTGTTTCCTGGGCAGCTTTTGAACTTAAATGCTAATGCCTGTATGAACTTTGAAAAATGCACACTC